TTATGTAATCGTTCATTTGTTAATGAAAAATCAAAGTTTCATGAAGCTATATCGTTTACTTATTGTCTCGTATTTAAAATAGAAAGCAAAAACATTGACTCTTAAATGCACTTAGGCACCATCTGAGATGGCTTAGGGCAAACATGTTGTACCTAGGCGCCACTTCACTTGTCGCCTCCTTCTAAAATTAATGTGCATGCGTCATCTCACTTGACGCCTCCATTATGGTGTTTCTGAAACATGGTTATTTGCGTAATTTTCTCCGAAACACGAGTATTTTGTGTATTTCTTTCAATACTTGATCATTACTAAAAAAAAATTCATTGAAGACATCAGAAAAAAGGGATAAAGAATAATAATTTTTTTGAGTTTTGAGAGAGATTCACGAGAAAGAAGACGAGTGCTCTATTTGATGTTTTGATGCATTTGATTTCTCTCTCCTAGTTATTTTAATGCTATATTTTATTTTTATTTTTTAATTATGTGTGCCACTTGTCATTGAATAATTGGTTGGTCCTTTAGAAGATTTGTAATGCTACAGACGCTCATATGGATTGTTATTTCTTTTTTTCATATTAAATTAGTCCATTTTTTAAATTGTATTACTAGTTTTTTTATTTATGTATTTTAGAAAAAAAATTAAGAGGATGTAATTAGAGGGAAACCCTCCAAGTACAACATCTCTCTTTTTTTAGTTTTTTAATTCTATTTTAACTTTTTTTGTTTTATTTATATTTTCTCATTTTTATTTTTTCATTTATTTTAAAATTAAGAATATATTTTAGGGGTTTGTTTTACTTCTTGGGTCTCATGTACTGACTAACACCCCAATTTCAATATGCACTCCTATTTTTTTAATTAGTTTTGTTCATTTATTTGTTTATATATATATATATATATATATATATATATATATATATATATATATATATATATATATATATATATATATATATATATATATATATATATATATATATATATATATATATATATATATATATATATATATATATATATATATATATATATATATATATATAATTTTGTTTATTTAGAAAAATAAATAAAACACAAAAAAATATATCTTTTGTTTTAGAGAAAAATTAATTACTTTGTACATAAATCTAATTCTTTTTTTATTAAATTAATTTCAAAATTTTGATAAATAATAGGATTGGTGGATTTTACATCCACCACATCCTCTAATAATCGATTGATTGGCTTAACGCCTTGCTAATTAATTATCTAAATAAAACCCTCTAAAATTTATAAATAAATCAAGTCAATTTCTTCGCCCAACGCGATCTAATTCTAATGAAGATCAACTCTTCTTAAACCAATCGAAACTTAATCTAAAACAACTAACCAGTCAAAACCTTTTTCTACTAACATAATCAAACTCAAAGACATTTTCAATAAATGATTGTCCATGTACTTTCTATATGAATACAAAAATATTGCATACCATCACTCAATTTCCAAACTCAGACATGTTCTAAATCATTCGAAAGCAACTTAACACAATCCTATAAAAAATATCAATCAAACATACTTCGAACTACGAAGAACTCTGATTTCTTCTTAAGAAGATACATAGGCACACGGTTGAAAAACCGAGACGAGTCCACTAACTTAAAAAGCATATTTTTCTTTATTTCTTTTCCTAATTCAATAATAAATAAAGAAATATTCCCCATAAGTCCTAGATCTAAAAAGGATCCCCTTGAGTACAAGAGAGATAAAGGGTGCCTGACACCTTCCCTTTATCAAATCAACTCTCGAACTCATCAATCTTCAAATTAAAGGTAGCACTCAACAACCCTCCAGTCGAACATTTCTGCTTAAGACTCTCCTTTTCAAATGCTTCACGATCTTTCTGAATCTGTTGATCTTTGGACTCAAGCCCACATTTCATTTGTCTTTTCTCTTTAGCTAAAGTGTGAAGGCTAAGCTCCAGTTCTTTTTTCTCCTTTTGAGCTTGATTCAAAGCTTTCTTCAAGTTATTTATTTCTTCTAAAGACATAGGAAGAGGATCTGGGACATTTAGCTTGTACTCAGGATCGATATCAAAAGGTAGCTTAACAACCTGTACCCTATCCAAAACCCATCGAATGTAAGGTTCTTTCACTATAGCATTCTTTCTTTCAATTTTTCTCTTGTTAATCCTACTCCAAGCTCAGATGACCTTGTTGAGAAACTCTCGGTTATTTTTTCCGATATCATGAATAATTAATTGTTGAAGTTGTTCATAGGAGGGTTTATCCTCCAAAGGGTACCATAGTTGTTGCAAAGCCAAGGTAGGGTTGTACTTGATGCAACCACGTGATCTAATCAACAGAATATTCGGAAAGTATTTGCGACTATAAATGATATCTCCAATGTCTAGCTTCCTCGCATACCATAACACAGAATTAGCAGTAAGAGACCTTAATTTTTGAGGCTACTCGTATCTTGTCAAATTTGGGACCATGTAATCCTCCTTATAGAGATGAGTCATAAACCAAGAATATAAAATAAGGATGCAACAATTTAAAGTACTCCCTCCCTTTTCATACCGAGTGTGAAGTGCATAATAAATATCAGCAAGTAAAGTAGAAGTTGAATCCACATTTAAAGATTTCGCGCCCCAGAATACACTAATAGCTGCAGGGTCAATATAGTCCAAAGTTCACAGAAACAAGATTACACCAAATACAAGTAGCCTAAACAATCAACACAAGACTCCCATTCTTTATTATCAGTAAAAGAAAGGGCTTTAGTTTCTAAACAATATCTCTTAATCCCTTGTACATCACCTTCTTTTTTGTAATTAAGTGTAAATTCAAGATAAGGGATCCCTAAACCATTCGCTAAGTCCTTAATATCAATAGTCTGCCCGACTCCCACATAAGCTTTTCCCTTAGAGAAATTCTAAAGTCTATCAAATTCTTCCAAAGTTATTGCTAGTTAAAAGTCTTGGAAGGTAAAACACCTTAATGGAGGGTCGTAGAAATGAACCAAGGCAGAAATAACATCTAATTGTACATCAACTTTTGTCAACTCAAGGGTATCCCCATAAAAACTAGTAAAGATCTTCAAAGCTCTTTCAGACAATTTCCCTTTGATGGTCTTGATCTTTGTCATATCTGGTTTAACGACATTAACACATACAAGTTGTTTCCCTTTGGAATTCATTTTTAAGATACTTCACCAAAAACCTTTGATTATTTTTTTAACCCGGAAAATAAGACAGACAAAAAGAATTGAGGGTGATGAATATGTGAGATGCAAAAATATATGAATGCATGATGATAGTGACAAGATTTATGAAAGGTATCTTAAATTGGTAGGTTCCTAGTATTGGTCTACGAATGTTCTACCCTCCCCGTAAGGTGGTTTCCTTAAGGGTATCATGGATAATACTAGAGGGAAAGGCACAAGGGCCTCCCTTAAGTGGAGCCTCTTTGTAGACCGAAACTTTCGTCTCTAAGGTCGTGAAAGGTCTCACCATGAGATTTAGGTTTAAGGGTTATACAAAAAAGTCACAGGCTTCATTCTAAAGTCCTACCCCTCAAGAGGATTTCTCTTGAGACATATTTCTTTTTTGGAATTCCACCGACTCTAGGCGAAGTCGTCACAAAAACTCATAGGGATGATGTATCTTCTTGACCAATAGACGAACCTTCTTTCTAAGGTTTTTGAAAATAAATTTTAAAACAAAAATCCCACCACAAACAAATATAATATGATAAAAGGTAAATAAAAAATAAATGAAAAATAAATAAACCAACATAATAAATAAATGTAAAGAAAAAAAAAAGCCCTAAAATCTTAAATTCAAAGAAAGGCTTCTAACCCTAGGATTGAGTCTCCAGCAGAGTCGCCAGCTGTAATAACCAGTTTTAAAATGAGAGTCGCCTCGCTTAATTTTTATCCAAAGAAAGGAATGTAAAAGATAACTCTAATTTGGTTAGACATTCTAAGTTGTTGACTTGTTTTTAGACGAAGGAAAGGTGTTAGGCACCCCTCATCTACCTTATTCACAAGGATACTAGGGTTTAGATTTACGATTTAGGAAATAGGATTTTAATTTTTATTAAGGCAACTCACCACGATTTTAGTTGTATGCCTATGTATCCCCTTATGAGGAATCTGAGTCTCAATTTGTAGTTCACAGTTGTTTGGTTAGTATTTTTTTATGGATTATGAAAATATCTCGAATTCTCCTTGAACCAAGTTTGGGTGTGTGAATAGCAGAATTTGTAGACGAAGTTTGCAGTCGATTAAAGGTATTTCTATAATCCTTTTTGAAAATAATCTTGAGTTTATTAAGTTAGTAAAAAAAGTGGTTAATATTTGATTGATTAGATGTTTTTTTAAAATATATTAATATATGAAGAAAATCTTTTATAATGCATGAGAAAAAATAATTTTAATGCAATTAAAAAATATTTGATTGGGTTAGTAAAAATAAAGATTTAAATTAATAAATAAATAGATTTAGAATTTATTATAAAAGTAAATATTAATTATGAAAATATAAGAAAATAAATAAATAAATAAATAAATAAAAGAAAATATAAAAAAAATATAATTTTAATTAATTATACAGGGGGTGTATTTTTAGTTTATAAGTAAAAGGCTGAGGATACAATTAACAGGATCCTAAATCTAGATATTGGATTTATGCTTAAATCACAGAGTGTGAATTATAATTGATGAAGTAAAACAAGGGTTGTGAATTATAGTTGATGAAGTAAAATAAGGGGTGTGATTAGAAATGGATAGAATTATAAGATTAGTAAAAATGTATAACTCAAAGCCCAACCCAATATTAAGAAAACCTAATTTTTACTAACATATTAATTAGTTAAATAATAAAAAAAAATTAAAATATGAGTGACTAAAAGAGTGCCATCACTTCTACTAGCAGTATTACCATTCCTTTTAAATATTAACCATAACCATTCACCTTTTGACACATGGCAATGAAATAAAATAAAAAGAGAATATAGCACATGATAGTCAATAACAAACAAAGAGAGAAAAAAATCACTTTTGTGCAACCATTCTTCTTTTCTCTTTTTCTCCATACCCTTTCTTCTTCGTTCATGCATCCTACTTATGTTCAAATAACCAATAAACAAAACAAGCACATCATGAGAAAATACAAAGAAATTTTTTTACTTCCTCGTATAAACATGGTGGGTGCGATTGAAGGGTGTGGCAGCCGTGGTGAAGCGTCATCCGCGTCGGTTCCGCGAATAAGAGATTTGCAGAGTATTTTCTTTGATCTGCTTTGTATGTGAAAAGTGAATAGAAATTGGTCTCCCTCTGGATATACAAAAATTAGATCTTTTTATACTAGAATATTAGGTTAATTAAAATAGGAAATAAATTAAATTGATCCAATATTTAAATAATATAATTAAAGCCCCAAAATTAATTCCAGATTTCAAATATTTTTATTCTATTAGATTAAATGTTTTCTAAATTAATTTGCTTGATCACAAAGTTAATTAAAAATGTTAAAAATAATAAATCTAAATTAAAGCTTTCTTTATTTAGATTATTTATGCTTGTTGTGTGTTTGGATGTTGAGTAGATCGGAAACAAAAGGAATAAAGAATAATAGTTTTTTTGGGTTTTGAGAGAGATTCACGAGGAAGAAGATGAGTGCTCCCTTTGATGTTTTAATGAGAGAGATTCACGAGGAAGAAGATGAGTGCTCCCTTTGATGTTTTAATGCATTTGATTTCTCTCTCCTTGTTGTTTCAATTCTATATTTTATTTTTATTTTTTAAATTATGTGTGCCACTTATCATCGAGTAACTGGTCAGTCCTTTAGAAGATTTGTAATGGTAAAAAAAACCCTCACCGTTATGATGCTAAAGACACTCACATGGATTGTTATTTCTTTTCTTTCATATTAAATTAGTCCATTTTTTAAATTGCATTGCTAGTTTTTTTATTTATGTATTTTATAAAAAAATTAAGAGGATGTAATTATAGGGAAATCCGATTCTTTTTTTAAATAATCATTTTTTTCAAAAAAATATTCAAATAATCATATTTTTAAAAAATTTATCAAAGTAATCACTTTTCAAACAAAAAAAATTCGCCACACAGAGGAGGCGCCACTCAGTATGACACATGCATGGAAAATAGAGAGGAGACGCCACACTACATGGCTTGTCCTCCTATGTAATGTCACGCAGTGTGGCGTATGCATACAAAGTTAAAGAGAAGGCGCCACCTTGGGTGGCTTGACAGTTGTATTTATTAATTTTTTTTAAAATAAAAATAAAATTAATTAAAAATATTTTATATTAATATTTTAAATTATCCAATGCATAAATATATATTTTTTCGGACGTCCCCTCAACCCAAGCGAGTCCCAGTATGACATAAACGGCTCCGCCTTTGCCTCACTCCTCTCTGTTAAATTACCTGAGATGTTTGTGGTCTGTTTTGACTCGCTTGATGATGAGGTGCTTGATGTGATGGTCCTGGTACATCAGGATCATACATCTCATCGATCCACAGTGTCATGCTTCTAAAGAGATTGGTGCCCATGTTGTTGAAGTTTGGTCTTGTTGGTTGGGATATGTGCGGGTGAGGTGGTTGATAGTATTGAGATGTTGAATCATTTTGGAAATGAAGCAACGATTCTTGTGGTGTATGAAATCCATATGATGGTTGGGTACTTTGATGGTGTGATGTTTGACTGTATGTAGGTTGAGTGGCATGGTAGGAAGGAGAGATATCATATGTGTCTTGGGTGTTGTGGTAGGATGTGGGGGGTGCATATTATTGGTGGTGGATCGGGTCATGCTCTTGGTATTGTGTTTGTGTGTGTGGCCTGAATTGGTGATAGGTTTGGTTGGATGTGGTGGTGTATAGTTGTTGGGTTTGAGTGAGTTGATATTGTTGTTGGGTTTGGTATTGATGAGGGGTTGGATGTTGAGGATGTTGTTGGGCGTAAAATGCAGCTCTTTGACATGGGTCGATAAAATATGTCTCATGAGACAGAAACAAATTTTTTGAAACCGATGTGTACCATGTTAAATATTGGAGAGTTGGTTTTAAGTCATCTTGCGAAATCGGATCCTTTAGGACCAATTCACGTCGATGCCTCCATTGACAACATTGATTTCTAGGGAAGTCTCTAAAATCATTAAATCCCCATTGGTCATCAACTCTGACTAGATTCCATTGTCACAAACATGTAGGGGGTATGAGATACCCTATTGCATGTCGAATTGTAGCTTCACATGATCACTGTGGTGCATCTTCATAGTAATGAACCTGATGAGTGTTGATTTTGCAGTCCAGACTTTAGCATCTGCTGGGTTAATCTCATGGTCGAGATCCTTATACGGCTTCCATACAAACTGTAGACGAAAAAGAGTGTTAATCTAATATTAATACTAAACTTAATTAACCTATTGAAACCATTGTATACAATATGTAAGCTTAATACCTCTTTGGGTCCAACATGATCAATAAGATTTTGGTAGAGTACTATTACATTTATAGGGAATTTATTGTAATTCATCCCAGGAACAAACCATCTACATAGAAAAATAGGTAATAAATTAATACATGTTGGTTATAGTATATAGTATGTAAAATTTATGTTGTCGTAATCTTACTTTGTAGCAAAGGGGAAGACGAATGGCCTTGTGTTACGGAGGGCGAGTGTCGGCATTCTCGACCAACACCATATCTGGAGCAAAAAGGCACAGGAATAGAAAGAACAACAGTTGTTCAATGCGTTTTTTACACAAGAAACTATATAGATGGGCCAAAACAGCAGAGCCCCAATTATATGTGTTTATTTTATCAAAATGTCTTAACAAAGGTAAATACATGATATTAGCAGTATTACCCGTTGTTTCAGGAAATAAAAAGTGACCAAATAATATCATTATGTAACTCCGAGCTTTCACAATTTTTTCTTGCTCGGTAGAGTTTTCGGTTATTACGAGACTACTATGGTATTCTCTAAGAAGACGGAGATTTTATGTCGTCAAAAACCAATTTGCCCTTTTCGGTTAACTGCATCTTACATGAAGAGAAGTGATTCATGGGAAATATGTACCATTGATCCACTTCACACTTGCATCACCACCGTTCTGACGCAGGATCATCGAAAACTTAGTTCTCAACTAATATGTCAAAAAATATTGTCTCTTATTAGAAAGGATCCATCATTAAAGGTGAGTACAATTATTTCTCTTATCGTTACAAGATTCAATTATACTCCCTCTTACAGGAAGGCATGAATCGCGAGGACTAAGTTAGTTGAACTTGTCTACGGTAATTGGGAGGAATCGTACAAAGAACTTCCAAGATTTTTGGTGGCACTCAAATATTATGCTCCGAGTACTGTTATAATTTTGGAGACACTCTCGACATTTACCCCAGACAAAACTCATGTCAATGGAAATGGAATATTTCATCGATTGTTCTGGGCGTATGAACCATGCATAAAAGGTTTTGCATTTTGTAAACCTATTATACAGATTGATGGAACTTGGTTATACATAAAGTATAAAGGAACATTACTCATGGCAGTGACATAAGATGGCAACAATACTGTTTTTTCGGTTGCCTTCGCTCTAGTTGAAGGTGAGACAGGTGGTGTGTAGAATTTCTTTCTGAAAAATCTCTGATTACACGTTGCTCCTTAACCCAACCTTTGTTTGATTTCAGACAGACATCCATCGATTATGAGTGCATATCAAAGACAAGACACTTTGAAAGAGAGTTGTTAATGCAGGGTATGCCTTAATAGAGCCATCATTCCAACACTATCGCGAAGAAATCCGGTTGACAAACTCAGAAGCATTAAGGTGGATCGATAACATTCCAGTGGGGAAATGGATTCGGGAATTTGACAATGGTCAATAATGGGGCCACATGACAACAAATTTGGTGGAATCATTGAATTCTATCTTAAAAGGCATCCAAAACCTACCAATTATTGCATTGGTTAGAGCAACATATTTTAGGTTGGGGTCATTGTTCGACACAAGAATTTCAAAATGGAGGGCAGTGTTACAATCAGGGCAGTTGTCCATTGAATGCAAAATGAAATCATTTAACGAGGAGGCTGCCAAAGTAAACACCCATAGTGTCACCGTGTTTAACCGTATTAAAGGTTGGTTCAGTATACAAGAGACAATGGATCATAATGAGGGGAGGCCAAAGGGATATTATCGGGTCTAACTAGATAGAAGTTGGTGAGATTGTAGAATGTTTCAAGCATTTCGCATGCCTTGCTCTTATGACATAGCGACATGTTCGCTTGAACCCAATAGTATACATATCCCTCGTTTACACAATAAAGAGCGTTTTAAGTGTGTACATCAGTACCTTCTTTGTGTTTGCAAAGGAGGATTATTGTCCTGCTTATCAAGGGGACATTATTTGGCATAATGAACAAATGATAAGGAAGAAAAAGGGACGCCCCAATAGCACTCATATTAGAACTGAAATGGATACGACCAATAAAATTATAAGATTATGCAGTACATGTCGTCTTCTCGGACACAATCGAAAAAATTGTCAGAATATTGGGTCTAGCTCTACAACCTAATTTTTTTTATAGCAAACTTTTTGGAGTAATTAATTTGTTGTAAGCAAGAAATTTCAATTTAAATTCGAGTTTTCATTTTGTGTTCAATTTATCATTCGATTACAACAACCTTCAGATAATGATCCAAAAAATTACAACACGACATACTCAGGACAACAACACAACAATATAATAAGCAGACAAAACAACTAAACACGTCATAATATGTAAGAGATAAAAACCATTAACACAATATCGTTTTGTCCAGGCATCATCATCATGACATCAACGTCACATCTCACCTTTTTCCATGATTGGTTTACTCCATTTTCGTTCCTCAATGTAATTTGTCTTTCTATTTTTATGATCTGTTCACCTTCAGGAATGTCTCCTTCTAACCAGCGAATCAAGTGTCTATGAAAATGCTCGAATGTCTGCATGTTCCAGAGTTGTCTTCATCGAAGGCTTTGTCTCTGAAAAATAACATGCACATCTCTTTTGATCAGTGAAAACCTTGGAAGGGAGTGAAAGACATTTTCTAAGAGTGATGTGAGAAATAGTATGAAAAATGGTGAAGATGGGTGATTGCATTTATAGAAAACCATATACAATTGTCAAGTAACTCAAGGTGGCGCCTCCTCTTTAATTTTTCATACATGCGCCACACTGTATGACATTACAAGCCATGCAATATGGCACTTCCTCTCTATTTTCCATGCATGTGCC